GAGCTTCAATCCTGCAGTAAAAGCCTGAAAGCTATTCCCACAAATGGCCCCAGGAAGACAGCTGGTGGATCACCCTGATTCTGAGGGAGCAGGGGAGGGGCAAACCAAGTCGGAATGTCCGACCTGTCCCTCCTAGTTCCATATCTGGCAGTTTGCTCATCTGAGCATGTGAACAAGGCATACAAGGCAGGCACTGCTGTTATCAGCTTGGAGAGGAGCCACACTAGTGATCTAATGCAGGGGAGGCTATTCTAACAGAAGGAACAGAATTAAACCCAAATTGTTGTTTCCTCTCTGCTTCCTGAAACACCCCTGCCTGATTAAAACCACTTTTATAGTATCTTTTCCTTCAATACTCTAAACTTGTTGGCTACATCTTCTCTTTTCCATGTCTGCTGAAGGCCAGAACTGTGAGTGCCAAAATGTTGAGTAAAAATTTGTGTTTCTTTTTCCTAAGGAACTCTCTCAATGGTTATGGTTTATCCCAAAGCTACGAGTAGTTGAACAGAGTTCAACAACCAGAATAGAAGTGATGGCCAAGCCAGAGACGCAGAGCAGAGACATTTTTCTTTCCAGCCCTGGCCCCATTGCAGCACTGAGCACCTCCCAGAAAACCCCTTCAGCCCAGTCCTGCCGAACACATGAGTTTCCTTAGGAAAGTCACAGGACTGCACAAGCGGAAAGCCAAACATGTGCACTGCTGTGCTTCCCAGCCAGGGGCCCAGGACTACTGAGTGTAAATCAAAGGGCCCTCTCACGTGCTCAAAATAAGGGTGTATGTTCAAACACTTTACTGGATCAAGGACTTCAAGGACTTAACCCCTCTTTCTCACAACTGAGCAAGCTTTTAAAAAGTTTTCAGTGTGTTACTATCTTTATTTCTTTTTGCTGGCAGTATTTGGAGCATCAAGACTAACTAAAACCAGTTTATATAAAGCACAACACTAATCTGAGCACCATATGCATAAGGGAATAGGTAGGATGAATGGATAATCACTACATTTCCTAACCCCATGGCTTTCTCTGTCTCTTGTCAAGGGGACCTTAAAATATTGTCTTCTAATCTAATCACTCAAACATCCTTGCATGGGCATATCAGAAACAAACAAGATTCATATCACATTTCCAAGCATTCTGTACCCTGTACCCTGATCTGCTCATCCCTGATCCTGTTTCTCCTGAACATCCACTGATGTCAAAGGGAGCAAGAACAGGCAGTCAGACCTGTAGGTATTAATGCTATCATTCCAGCTCTCAGAATTCTTTCTTGCCTGTTTGGCTTTCTATCTGTCTCCCCTCTTGGCTCTGTCTGAGCCCCCTCCCCTGGTGCTGGAGTTGGTGGCACTTTGTATAGTGCTGAGAGGAGCTGATGCCAGGTTGCAGCTTTCAGTGCTGAATTTGACTAAAGTTAAAGGCTGATTAGAGCTTCCAACTGCAAAACTCCATCTCAAGTGTCTTTCTAAGTTTTGTCTTCATGTTATTCCACCCACTGACTCATGGCTTACAGTGTTGTGCCACAGCAGGCACCCAGTGCTGAGAATAGCTTAAATTCTGTGTGTGTTCATCACACAGCAATGCAAACTACAGTGCCAAGGTGTAAGGTATGTAAGTGAACACCTACATGAGAGCTGAGGAGACTTTTGGTTGGTTTTGTTGTTTTTTTTTTTGTGGACACTCTCATGGTTTCCCACCTTTCCTTTTGTTCCTTTTCCATTTTCTTGATTTCTTCTCTTAATACTGCATCTGCAGTATCTGGGTTGCAGCAAGAAAGCAACAGTTAGAATGATGAACTATGGACTGAAAGAGCAGACAGGGCCATTTTGGAATCACTGCTCAGAACATTCTGAAGGGACAAAGGAACTCTGAAGTGACAGATCTTCATTTATCTGCATTGAAGAAGAGAGGGAAAGAAGGGAAAGGATGTGAAGGAGGGTGAAGAGTCAGGCAGGAAGAGAATGAACGAATGAATGGGCAAAAGAAAGATAATTTCTTCTGTTTCACAGCTCTGAGAAACCACTCCATTCTCTGTGAATTTTCCCTTCCAGGCTTCCCATAGAAAATACTGAAACCTATGCGAGTATTAGTGGTGCTCACACACTTGGTGCCTTGAATCCACTGGGAGACACTCATGGGAGCAAAAGTATTTGTGAGGTTGTGGATGGTTGTCCTCCTCCTCCACTGTGGCTAAATTCCCAGTGCATAGGACTGTGAAATAACCCAGGACAGCTCTGCTGGAAATTTGAGTCCTGTACTGAAAACCACAAACAAATATTTTCTCAAATACTACAAGCAATATCTGTGTAAATTCTCCCTCCCTTGTCTGGAAGATTATAGGGAAAACAATTGCAATTTTGTTGACTTAACTTCAACATTTGAAATCTATTAATAATGGGACATGGGGGAGGCTTCTGTTGGGGAACAAAAACTGCCATCTAATTCCACTGCAATTTAATGATCTATAGGCATCTTTGGTGGCTGCCGTGCAGAAATGTTAATACTTGTCTGAAATGAACAGACATCACTGAACAAGAGGGGCGTTTTTAGGTAGATGATTTGTTGCTCATTTATTTAGCAAGCGACGTAGTGTGACCAATGAGTTTCAGTACTGAAATGGCACAGAAACCTTGGACAAGGCCCAGTGTTGCTCTCAGGTTGTGGATTAGCCTGTGGACAACTGAATCCTGATATCATGACCCCCATCTGCAAACAGAGAGTAGTAGTGTCTAAGGCAAGGTGTGCTCTGAGATCATTGTATAGCTATATATGTGGGTGATGTTGCAACAGCTGTTTTTTGGATAAATGTACTCTCTTCTAGACAGCTTAATATCAACTTGTTTTGTTTAACAAATTAACAGCAATGTACTCATTTCATGCTCCACTCCGCCTGTTTCGGTGACCCTGGTAATACAAGTGTCAGAAAGACACAGTCAAGCATCTAACCAATTCTCCACTGCCTGCTCCTCCAGCTTCCCTCTAATCTCGGTTGAATAGTTTCATTACATGACATGTTAACGCACCAGTGGAGATGGAAAGGCTGAGCGCTCTTTTAGGTGTACACAATGTAAAATCATTAGGATTGCTTAAGAAGCTTCCCAAATGCTTTCTGTCAGCAGTTAGATCGCAATTACAGAATTAACTGGAACAGACCACATCTCTCTCTTGCAGACCCACTGCTTGACGATGAGGGGATACCATTTCAGTGGAAAAAAGGTATCACCTGTCAGATGAACAATAAGAACATGAATAACATATGGAAACCATTTGCTGGTTTCCACTATATGCATTCACCAAGCACTCTGAAAATTCGAGTACTGCTCAGACCACATTGGGGTCAACAAACATGCTACTGCTGCTTGTTTCACCCTTTCTCTGCAGAGGTGAACAAGCCCATAAGAAGAGCAAGACTTTCAGGCACTGGTGTGGCAGTGGCAACAGTGTCCAGCAAGAGTGCTGCCTGGAGGTCTTGGGGGAGGCCTCACTCTGTGTTATGAGCTTCAGCCTTTATCCCTTCCTTTCTGTGTGTGCCACCCATGGCCACTCAGCTGGCTCTTTCTCCCTTATGGGATGGAGCTGTTCTGGCCATAGACATGCTAATCCCAGTCAGATGTTTCCCAGAGTGATTAAAACTTATGGACACAGCTTGCATACTGGGCCAAATACCTTCTAGGCTGTTACTGTCATCTCATCCCCAACTCCACAGAACAATCATAATCCTTCCCCAAGCCACCACACACATAAGTCAGTCTAATGGATACCTTCCGTTCCTGGCAACTTAACCCTTCCTTCTCTTCTACATGTCTGGATCTTATGCACCACCTTTCTCCCTTTCCTTTATCACATCCTAAGCCCTTTTTTTGCACTGTCACTGCCCTTCCTCATACCTCTGACTCCATCCCTCATCTTCTCTTTCCCTTGCTGTTCTTCCAAGAGAAAACTTGCACACTATTGGCCACTCCAATTTGGTGCCATCTGTCCTGTCACCTCCTGCCTCAAGGACAGTTTCCTTACTGCCTATTTATTCAACTAACTCCTCAGAGAAATGGCAAGGAAATCCCAACATCCACCATCAAAATGTTAGCTCGAGTGGTTCGTGAAGTGAGGCTCACACAATACAGTTATAGCAGTGGGTCTCTTCCACTCTTATTACTCTGCATTACTCCTGTCTTGAACTTTTTGTGTCACCTGGAGAGGTCCTGAGGCACCCGGAGGGGTCTTCCAAATCAGACAGTTCATATTTAGACCAAACACAAGCCATCAGGAATTGTCATCCAGGCCACAGCCTTTTCCCAGTACCTCTTCTCTTGAGAATGACCGCAACGATCAAGTTGTTCAGGCTATCTACAGTAGGCAGCACACTGCAGTTTGTTTGGTCTGGAGGCACTTCTCAGAAGGAAGATTGTGGGGAAAAGGCAGCATTGACTGTCCTGGTGATGGCCACCTCCTGTTGCCCCCCAGAATGGCAAGAGCATCATGGACAGCATACATAACCACTAGGCCAAGGGGACCCAGCAAACCATGAAGTCTGCCAAGTCTCAGCATACTCTAAGCCTGCCAGATGTTCACCCAATGCTGTCCTGACAGATGTTTACTCAGTGTGCTCATACAAAACCTGAGCTTGGGGTCTAGGCATCCTCCCCAGGCAGCACACAGTACAAACAGCCTGTGCAGTAAACTGGGGAGTGATGTGGGGATTCACAGCAACAGGCTGTGCACAGGCAGGAGATCCAGTCAGGTAGAAGAGAAATGGTTCTGGCATCCAGCCCACCCTGACACCAGAATAACAGCGTGACCCACCCGGTTGGAAAATTCGGGCTCACAGCTTTATATTTGTCTAGGCAAGAGCTTGCTAAGTGTTTTTACACTCTCTTCTTACTGTAAAGAGCCATGCATGTCTCTGTTTCTCTGTGAGTTAGGGGAATTGGTTGAAAATGTTCAGTTCTGGTTTGTTCTACAAGGAAAAATATACCATTTCATGTTTTAACATTTTTATTCCTCCCCCCTCCGTCCCCCCCTTTTTTTTTTCTGAAAGAAGGAAAAGAAAATAAAGTCTACTAGTGGAAGAGCTTTCCAAATAAACCAGAGGGATTTTTTTTTAACAACAAAAACCAAAATTGGACAAAACTCCCTTTCAGAATTTCTGTCCTTTTTTGGGTTTTGTTTGTCAAAGAACACCTACTTTTCTCCGTATGACACCAGCAATGTTGACACTGTGTGTCACGCTGCAGATGTTGCTTTGTGGTATCCAAAAGATCATTCATCAGCTGCATCTTCTGGGTAAATGCACCAAAGATCAGAAGAGCCCACCTTGCCTTCCCATCTGCACAGTGACACAACATGGGACAGACCTTAGGCTGGGAGAGAGATGGGTGGGGGCAGAAAGGCACTGCTCAAGGAGGGCAGTGCAGGCTGGGTAGCTATTTCTTCTGCCAGCATGTCTATCTCTTGTAAATATGAAACTGTGATCTTCTCAATACTCCAATTTTTATTCTTGTACTGGGAAAAAAAAAAAAAAAAAAGAAGAAGTAAATCAATTGCCAGTCCATAGAGCTACAAACAGGGCAGCTGTGAAGGGTTAAACAACTCAGGGCACCCTATGGAAGTAGCAGCTGGGTCCTGTCCAGGGAAAAGCAACAGGTGCATGTTCATATTTCATTTCTTTCCATCATTGCCCCTCATGTTATCATAGTGGCCTGGAGGTGGAAAGCAGTGCCAGAGGAAAGCCAGACCTTCTGGGCCAGCTCAGTCCTCACCTTGCTGGCTCAGCCACCACCTGGCCCACACACCCCATACACCCACAGGCATCTAAAACCTCTGTCCTCAACAGGAGGCAAGTGCCAGCCCTGAGACTCCCAGAGCCACCTGGGACAAGCTCCTTCCTGGTTCTGCGATTCCAAGACCAAGGCTCAAAGTAACCACTGGGAGCTAGATTTTATTTCTGATCATGAGCATCCTACATGCTACTGCTGATGCACAGATAATCGTTTTAAAAGTCAGTGAACCTCCTCAACTCACCTCAGGTGTCACCTTCTAATCAGCACAAGAAATTTCATCCTCTGTATATAAAAACTGTACAGCAACAGATTTGCCTGCCACATTCCTGCAGAGATAATTACATGTTGATGCCAGAAAATATGAAGCTGGAGGTTGGCAACATTCCTCTAAGCTTTCTCACCCTCAGCTTTTGAGTTCACAGAGAAGGAAAAGGGGAGTTCAGCAATGACTGGAGATATGAGGGAATTTGTGAGAACTGTTTTTTTCTGAGTAGGGAGGGGAGATTTCATTAATCTTTTTATCTGTCAATGTACTGCTCTAACTTATGCACAGCCACGAATCCTACTCAGCGTGTGATGTTATACTACATGACTGCCTATTGTTTTTTTTTCTAAAATATGTCATGGCTTATTGAGTTGCTGTACCAAATCATTCACTTCCCATTTTTTCTCCCCTTTTTTAACAAACACTGTCTGCTATATATTTTATAAAGTCTCTCCACATCTCATACAACACAGAGCAGCAGTATAAATCCAAATCTGAGGAAATGAAGAAGAGAAACAGAACTGGACATAAATGTCACCAAGCCTGTGTCAATAGCAATTGGTGGAAAATCTAAAAATACATACAATGGCTAGAAAATGTTTTGCACGTGTGCTTTGGGGGAGAAGTGGTTAATTAACAGAGCAAGATCATAGCAAACAGCCTTTGGCTGTACATCAGCCACGCGCCTTCTGCCTCTGGCCAAGATCTTTGTCCAGACTTGGCATTGCACAGCCTCCTTGGAGAAGACAGCAAATTGATATTTTAGGTCACAGCACAGGAACCAGGGGCTGCTGTCCACAAATGAATGGGGATGTGCTGGCATGATCCCATTCCTTATCTTCTGTTTTTTTTTTCTTTCCTCTCCCACCTCTTAGTGATGTTCTTGATCTCTTGGTGGGCTTCAGCAGGTGGGCTTTAGCATTTCCCTTGTCAATTATAGTATTGGCTTCTCCATTGTTCTTCTCATGTTCCTTGTTTCATGTCCATTTGAGAACCTCAGCATTGTGCCTGGACCCCACCATTTCCACCTTCAATTATTGCTGATGCTCTCAGCTTCTGGGAGAGCTTTCTACCACTCCCTCTTTCCAGCACCAGGTAGCTGGGAATACCTTGTTTCTCTTCCTTTCTTTTCCTCCTTCCTGCACAGCCCCACATCTCTGCCAGAGATGCTACTTTCCTTGATGTCTGCTTATTCTACCTAGCTGTAAATATACTTCTTTGCCTCACACATGGGAACTGAGGACACGGACATTGCATCATGAGGGTCAGAGGTAAGCAAAGATATTTATCAACAAGTGAGAGCTGATCTGTTCTGTATCAGACTGTAGGACTCCACCCACCTCATCCTCCTTTGTTATGGCCTGCCCATCATGCCCAACACCAGCAACCACATCCTTCCCTTCATGTGTTTTCCCACCACTTCAGCTGGGAGGTCTACTTTGCCTTTCCTTCAGCTTTTTTGGCATCACGGCTCTGCCTTTTGTCCCACTCTCTTCTCTCATTCTATCTACGGGTGGTTTCTTTTGCAAGCAGAATTCACATTCTTCATCATTCCCATATCTACGGGGCATGCCAGTTCCATCTCTTAGCGTCCACACTAAAATCATGTCCAGTCTTCCCTTTTGGATGTCAGTTCAACACCCATAGGTCTAAATAACATATTTCCTCTGTCCTCCACTCTGTCAAGTATACTGAGAAATCCCTTGCTTAATCACTGCAGACTACATTACTGGTTTCAGCTTGCCATGAGTGTAACATTTACCCAAGAGAAGTCACCTCTGGCATAACCAGCTTATGAAGGATTTGGAGATTCATTTATCTTACAGAATATGATGCAATTGCCCAGTAAGAATCTTATCTGGTTCCACATCTTCTCACATCTCTGTTGTTGCAACGTCTACAGCTGTGACTTGATTAAAGCAATCCTGTCCTCATGCTTTTGAATGGCTACTGCTGCAAAGACATCCTGATCCCAATCCCATCACCCCAAGCTTCATCATTGTTCTGGTGATTGTTCCTCCCTTACTTCATTTGACTCTTTGGAAGGAGTTTTATCAAAGGAAAAGAAAAGGGAGGAAGGGAGGAAGGGAGGAAGGGAGGAAGGGAGGAAGGGACTACCTTTTTGATTTGTCCTTTCACAGCATACAGCACAATGGGGCTCCAGTACACAGTGGAGTCTCAAAGTTCTGTTACTCACCAAAATGACAGAACACCATAAGTATACCATAACTGACAGTAGGTGTAAGTAGCCCACTCTGGTTAGTCACTCCTGCTCTCCCACAGGTGAAGAATACTGATGGGAAATGCTGTTGCCAGTAAGAGATTTCAGGAGTACAGGACACAGTAACCAGCAGTGGGAACACCAAGGTCCTGAAGAGCAGTGTACCCAGGCACAAGTTCTGCTATCTCTACACTTATCTGCATAATAAGTTTACACTGATAACAAACCTGCCAGGTAATCTTCAGAGGTTATACACCACAGGCTGCAGGCAGCTGGGCTCGTGTCATCTCAGACAACTTTCTGAATTTGCAGACAGCAAGAAAACCTACCCATGTTTTGGCCATAGAGAACACTTTTCCATGATAAATCTTCTCTCATCAGCTTTCTTCCTGACTACTTCTAGAAATGATAGAAAATCAGAGACTTTGCTTTACAAAACAGAGCAAAGTCATGCTCATTTCACTGAGCTTGAAATAGTTCTTCTCCTTTTTTTCTGCAAGTACTTTTTTTTTTTTTTTTAAAGAATTTTACCACAGTAACTTTATTTAATCAATCCCTTTTTCTCATTAAATGATAATTTGTTAAGATTTTCACTGAGGAACTACACAAGACAGGAAAAAGCTCAAATCTGAACAGCTTCCAGAGTCAGAAAATACCTTGTTTCCCTATTGCAGAGACAAGGATCGGCCTCTTCTCCTAGGTAACTAGCAATAGGACAAGAGGCAATGGACTTAAGTCACACCAGAGGAGGTTCAGGTTGGATGTTATGTAAAATTTCTTCTCAGAAAGAGAGCTAAGGTATTGGCATGGGCTGCCCAGGGAGGTGGTGGAGTCACCATCCCTGGAGGTGCTGAAGAAACATGGAGATGTAGCACTGAGAGAGATGATCTAGAGTGGTCACAGGCAAGGGTTGCTGGTTGGACTAAACGACCTTAGTGGACTTTCCAACCTTAATGATTTTATCATTATATAATTCTAAGCAGCTCCATGCCAGGTCCTGCTGCCTTTTTGTCACTCTGGTGGCTGAATGGAAGAAGCAGCCGCCTCCTCACTGAGCCTTCTTAAACAGGAGCAATGTATGTGTATTTGGAGTCATAAGCAAGAAGGCCACCCAAATGAGATGCGAGAGATGCTGCCAACAACACTGTCCAGGGCTCAGCATGCAGTGATTTAGGATAGACAGAGTGTATAGGGCTCTTTTGTCTTACAAGGGAAAGGAGAACGGTAAGGAAGGAGGAAAAAGAAAGGTATCCTTTGACATCAGTAAATATCTGAAGTGAATGTAAGAATGAGTTTGCAATCTGTCAGCGTATTAAACCAATGCCAGATGTGGTTTGTTTGATTTTCATCTGCCAAATCCAACAAATGCTGTTGGGGTGGAATTCAGCCATATGTGGAGTATTCCAGTAAAGAAGCCATGGTGTAACTGTGGGTACAGAGAAAAGCAGTGCAGCAATCCTAGGAGTCTGTGAGCAGAAGCATAAGTAACTAGGACGTGAAGAGAAAAGTGGAGGAAAAAGAAACCAAGAAGAAAGCACATAAATATTTAAAAATGGGAAATGCCATCAATATAACAGAGGAATGAAAACTGCGGAAAAATAATGGGTCAATAAATAGAGCTTTTGGAAGGAAAAAGTGACTGCAGCACTAAATGTTTTCTTTGCCTCTGAATTTGTTAGGAAAACATATTAACAGTTAGCCTGCAGAGACTGTGTGGGTACTAACGAGCACAAATTGGAGGTTATGGAGATTAATGAACACGCAGAAGATCCTCTTGTGTAAGATACAGACAGAAAACACCAGGCAAGTATGAGTTAACTCATAGTTAATATTGGAGATTGAGGATCAAACAGTTGGACCACGAACTGTACATTCTGAGAGAATTATTTATTAATCATGAGTCAGGAGAGTTTTTTGAAAGGCAAATCATGTCAGATAGACATGGTTCCTCCACAAAATTGCTGTCTTTGGGAAAGATGAGGTAAAAATTCAGCCAAATTCTCCTCTCACATAAACTCCAGACTACGTGGATGTCACAGCCAGGGGCTGCCTCAAACATGCTGCCTGGTCATGGTTCATGTTAATGTCAGAACTCAGTACTATGGACCCTGGTTTTCTCAGGGGAAGCAAAGAATGACTGAAACAGCATCAGAAGCTTACTGTAAATGAATTAAAAGATAAAAGAGTGTTAAGATATTTGATGAGATATAGAATTTAATTTCAGAGTTAAGTGCCAGATAATTTGTACGTAAGTAAAAAAATTTGTAAGTAAGTGGGTGCTGGAGTGAAATTTGATTTTCTTTCAAGAATTGGTAAGCTGCAGTCCTCTCTGGCTGTCAGGAAACAACTGCATTTGGAGCAATTTTATTACTGATTTTGACATAAGAGTAATGTGTAGAACGTATTTGGAAATGATAATAAAACTGAGTGGCAAAGAGACGTGCAGTGCTGTGTGCCTCAATTAGTACAGTAACCCGAGCAACACTAAAAGGCTCCAGGTTAAAAAATGAATAGCCCTAATACCACTCTCATTTTTGCCACCATAAATTACAAGTATTTCTAATGAAACCAAATAAATTATGTTGATATTAAAAATGCATGTATCTTTATATGGAGCCTGGTTTAGTATGATTATACAATTAGAGCAGATACTATCCCCTCAAGATCTAAAAAGGAAAACTGCAACCTTAATTATGGTGTTTTTAATTCCTTTTTGCAAATTAAATAATTATCTTTGAGTAAGTTTTGTTTTAAGGGAAGGAAATGACAGGAGTTCACGAGTTGCAGATGAAGAAAAACATTAAAAATGAGGTTTGAACAAAATGAAGAAGGGACAAGACAACTTGAAACCATCTCCATGATATTGTATGTTTAAGCAAGAATTTCTAATTGAGGTCATTTCGCTCACCAGAATTAGAACACAAGCCGAGGGGCAGGCAGAATATGCAACTAAATAATTTAAGGAGGATTATTTTACAGAGAGAGCAATCAGTAGGGGACACAGATATTGAGCAGAAAGGAAGAGGTCAGACAATGCCGATGTGAGCAAAATCCTGTCCTCCACATGAAGCTGAAATGGATGTATGCTTGAGGTTAGCCAAGAACCCGGAGCACTGCGGGAGGCAAAAGAAATTGCCAACCACCACATTTTTCTCACAGGCTGTGCAGAGCTGTTCATATTGTATCCATTTCTAGGAGTGTTTTGCCCTTCTTTGGCCCACTTTTTCATGATTATAGCCCATAAAAATGGATATAGTCATAAGCTTTGCAAATGCTATTATAGGAATTACATTGCTTATAAAGGAAGAAAAGGGATTTCAAATTCACATTTTCAACATGTTTGGTAAAAGGTCTGACACTGAGCTCTCCCCAGCAGAAAGTAAACATGTCCTTTTCCAATAGCAAAACATTGCATATTTACATAGACATCACCTTCCACAACAAGCCTAAGCGCTCTGCCCAGAAGGGCTCAAAAAGTGGTATTTCTTCTCACCTGTCCGAAGTCACCCCTGAGCAATCACTGTGGAATCCTGTAGGGCTTACCTGAGAAAACAAAAATCAAATCAATTCAGATTAAGTCATCCCATAGCTGGAGAAAAAAGGTCTCAGTTACTGGTTTACAAAATTATGAAAAGATATCTTATGAAAAGATAATACCAATCAAAAGGATTCATGAAAATTCATAATGAAACTTATGACTAGTTTATCTTTCAGCTTTAATCTGCAGCCCCCCATGCACTTCAAACACACCATGCACTACACTCTGCCCATCCTACAGGCTCAAGACTTCCCTTGGATCACCTCCCATCTCAGCAAGAGAGCTCAAAATCACAGGTCAACAGCAAGTGCCCTTCCCTCAGATTCCAGCTGGTCTCTAGACATCATGGCCACTTGTTAGCTTCATCCACAGCCATACAATGCACACAGGTGCAAACGCTGAGAAGAGGCTATTCTCTTGAAGAATGGCCCATTGAACCCAAGTGGCATCACATAGAAATGTTGGCCTTCTTGGCCTCCACCCAGAGCTTGCCTTCAAAGAACTGGGAGCCCATATCAATATTGTATGTAACTTCTCAGTTTGGCAAACACTCACACACAACAAACAAGCACTTTGTGAGCTTTTGCAGAAAGAAACAATCCTGTGAGACTGAAGATCATTTCTTCTTGTACTCAGTTAAATCCTGGCTTTGTCACTCATTTCAGTTATAACTGAAACAGAATTGTTGTCTAGCAATCCAAGCACAAAAATCAAACTAATCAATAATTTGTAATCCCAATTCTAGTATTACATTCTTGGTCAAATAGTAATTCAGCTTTTACTGAAGTCAAAGAGCCTTCTTAGATGGTTAGGAATTAGACTGGACAATAAAACTCTTTGATTTTAATCAGTCTGCAACCAGCTATGTTTCATATTTTCATCTGGAATAAATCATAAAAATCATCAGAGATGTTTTCAATACAAAGTAGTGAGGGGGAGGCCAGCTCAGACTCATCTGCACACACTGGCTCTGTATGCAGAAGAAACCAGTTGCCCAGTTTGGTCTCCTTAGGAAAAATTCGGTCCATGGAGAATTTCTAGAAATTCTGTCACAGAGCATAAACAGAACAGTAGGCATATGAAATATTTTAGAAGTTCACAAATTGAAAAAAAAGTACAAGTTGCTGTTCCGGTTTATCTCCTGAATAAAAGACCTTGATATGTTCTCTTGAAATGAAGGTTTACAGTGACAAAGACTCTGCTTGAAGTCCCAAAGCAGTTCAGCATGAGAGTGTTGAGAAGTGTAAATCTTATCTCAAAATGGAGCTTTCTAACTTCAGCTACAAATTATTGGATCCTTTTAAGGCTGTCTGTTGAGGAGCCTCTGTCACCAGAACCCTTGGTGTGGCTGTGTGGGCTGCAGTGAGGTCAGACATTGACTCTTCTTGTTGCCAACCTCCTCCATTGCTAAGCACGGGCTCCCCCACTATTGTAGATTTCCTCTGATGCCATTAACACTTCCAGAACTAGGCATGCAAAGAGAACTGGATGTTGCTAGCAGAAACAAGCCTTTTCCTACAGCCAGTAATGACTACAGCTGTCTTCATTGTAGAAAAGTGAGTGAAGATTTGTGTTCAGCTGATTTTGCACCCCAGCTCTCCAGTCCCTCCAGGGCCACTGATACTCAAGGCAGTGGGTATCACCTTTCTGTAGGTGCAGCCTACTTGCATTCTCCTGAGGCAACCTGCTTCAATTTTGTTTGCACTGAAATATTTGCAGGTTCCCATTTTAAGAAGTAATTCAGCTCAGTGTCATGTCTTCTTCACACACCCTCTCTCCTCAGCCTCCAACAATATTAGTAAATTTTCTTTTAGGTCATTTGTGTAGCAAAAGGCTGAAAAGCATAGGTTGCCTACTGAAGATAGCTCTACCTTTAAGTG